TACCGAAATCTTCTTCATACGAGTCTGACGAGTCGCTTCCCTAATCGATTCTGCTATATCTTCCATCATTTTCAGTTTTTCTGGATACGCCAGGTCACCCGATGAAGGATTGTAATCCAGTACATCAGATTGTAGATATAAATGTGCACGAAATACTAATCTTTCTTGAACATCATGCAATAACTGCAAGCATATGTTTCCGAAGCCTTCCAGTGGTTCAAAGTTGTTCTGTACATGTTCATCTAGCATCTCTATTCGTAGAATGCAGCAAATCTCTGCTAATGTCTCAAGATGATTGATGTGTATTATGAAAGGTCTCAATGCATCATATAAAGAAGTGCACAAACTCTCTAGGTATGCAGTTAATCCATTTGATTGTTTTGAAAAGAATTCATAGAACAATTTATGCTCATCTATCGACGCATGCAAGAGTAATGCACAAGAATGTCGCACTAAACTGCAATGATCACCATTATACTTTTCCCTAATAAAATTCAAAGATTTTTGTATACTTGTACCTAGCACTAAGCCTCGCTGACTCCAATAATACTGGTGACACTCAAGCAATAAGGTATCATATTCTTGTCTTTTATATGATTTGTTTTCAATCTGCTTGATAACAGGTCTTGTTTTAGATAAGATTGTCTGAAATCTGCCATAGAATAGAGCAAGAGCTGTGTCTGCATTCTCTGATGAGTTTTCATTGTCTTTTAAGTTTAAAATACTTTCAGTGGTTTTAGAGAACAGGTTGGAAATGTAATTCTGTATTAACGCAATCGCCTTTGACTGACAATGCTTGTATCTCACTAGATAAATTCCACTTTCATTGTATGATGAGTTGTTTTGCATAAAATCTATGTTTGTGTCAATTTTATCTAAGACAGTGAAAAACATTTCACTGTTCACCGACAAAGTAGATGCATCCAATTTTTCTGTAATCACATCAATTTCCTTGAAATACTTAACATACTCCGTAATACCATCAATTGTCGCATTTAACTGCTTTTGATCAAAAATAAGTTGTTCACTAGCTTCATATAAAGAAGTAGTTTTACTGGAAACTTCAGTATACTGTTTATAAAGTGCAGAGAAATCGTCCAATGTTTCTTCTATCTGAGAACAAACATCTTGGCATTCAGATTTCCTTGATTTTAGTTCATCAAGATATAAACTATATTTCATGTCGTACATGGATACATATTTTCTTTCCAAAAATAAGAAATGATCAAGTAATTCCTGATACTTTTCTATCGGAGGGATATTCTCCTGAGACTTCTGCTCTTGTAACTTGTCATCGCCATCATTTGTGGATTGTAGATTCGACAATGGAAAAAACGAAGACACAATGATTTCTAAACTTGTCAAACAATCCTTTTGACATTCTGTTAATGGGGCCAAGGAATTGTCATTCTGGTCCCACTGAATAAGGTTATGTGGAATTACCTTCGTATAAGACATTTTATTTGCAGTAGAAATTTTCAGTTATTGATATAATCATATATGTCTCGTTTACACATAATTCAATATGTAGTCCAAAATTAAATTTAAGTACGCACATTTACGAATCGACACAATTCTAGAGAAACTATGATTAGCAAGAAACGTTTGGAAATGTTGACGTATAATAATCAATAATCTTTCTCAGGCTCAATCGGTTTAATGTAATTGACCTTATCGATGTACTTTCAATGCAATTGATAAATCCCTACCTAACTTATTGAAGTTAATATTATTATATTGGCATGTATTTTTTATACATCATTTGGAAAAAATTTATTACGGCGTAAAAAATTGGTAAAAATTATTTATGGCGTTTATTATAGATAGAGACAACATACGTAGCATTTATATTATACCGACAGTAAGTAATCTTATGTTAAATATGCTATAAAGTGCGCGTTATGGACGTTTATGTCAATATAAAATTTGCATAAAATTGATTATATACATACATATATATTTTTTAATTAAAATAATACAGACTTGTAACTATTTTATTATACACATTAAGATTTTTTATAAACTGCATGCATTTCCATTATTTTCATTTTTAAATCATTTTTATTCACATAAAACCTTTTATTTCTATTCTTATAACTTAAAAAATATTATAATATATAAATACATGCAAAAAATCGTCAATAGTATTATATAAAAAAAATTTTTTCAAATTAATCAAAATATTTCTAATTTTTCAAGTTATTTTTATATCACATTATTTTACAATTAAAATAAAATTGAATATTACGTAATTTATTTTTTCTAATTCGTAGTATTATTTTTCATTTCTCAGCAATAAATTTCAGAAATTATATTTTCATTAAAAAATATTATACGTATAATAGATTGATGCATTTTTGTAATTCTTGCAAACTAACTTTCGTTAAAAGAATTAAAGATTGCAATCCTAAAATATCTTACATGAAAAATGATGGCTCGAATAAAATTACAGTTTTTTTTTTAAATTTAATCAATCTGCAATTTATAATAAGATTTAAGAAAAGTTGGTAATTTTGAAATAATAACGTTAGAATTTTAAAAACTAAAGATATTTTTTTACACTAAAATAATTGATCTAATATGGTATATAAAGATTTGACATATTAAAATATTATATATAGATATGTATATATATATATATATATCAGACTCACTCACCTTTTGTCTGCAAATCGATCATTATAAGCGATTTCACATCAGTTCTAAGTGATCAAATTCCCCTTTCTGCTATTATTTGTTATCAAAGAGAATTTATACTACTAATAGAATCATTATCGAAAAATCCACACGTTTAAGGTTCACTAACGATGAAGTTGCTTGAATGAAAACGTGGCAGAATATGGGAGAAATCGAGATCTTGTATACTATTACAAATGTATGTACATGTACTTATCTATTATGAAACAAAATAGTTTTCAACAAGCAGGGAAAAGGTGATATCGACATAGGTAATTATCTACTTATCTTTAACCGAATATGTGCAAGAGACAAATAGTATTATGTAGACATATAATTATACGACAAGAGAGAGTGTAAAACATTGAACCTTATTACAAATGCCACAATGTAGATTTATTAATGATTATAGAGACGTGTAACGATGTATGACACACCTCCCAAAAATCAACTAGTAATTTTCTCCCCTATAAAATTATCATAATTCTTGGAATCTTTCGTTCCTATCTATAATTTCGTTCCTATTTATAATTTAAGACATTAATTATTGCATGCATGTGTATGATGTGTATATGTGAGTTTAGATGTGTATGTTTGAAATGCATCATTGTTATACGTATGTCTTAATATTAAGATAATTATACACATGTATTAGATTAACTATACATAATAATTTGATACACTACTATATATTAGGTCATTTAAAAAGTATCCGCGGTTTTTTGTTCAATTTTTGAATGAAAAAAACCGCGGATACTTTTGAAATGATCCAATATATACTCATACACATAAATTATATGTATATTCGAAATTTAGAGTATTTCATGTCGCAGCGAAATAAAATACTTTTAGGAAATTAGAAATTAAGTATTAATTAGTAATTAAGTATAATTGCTTTACTTTTCGCACGAAAATACACAAGTAAGCCTTAAAAAGGCTTACAGAAATACAAATGTAGTATTGAGAGAAAAAAAAAGTAAAAGATGTTAATTCATTTGAATTATATGTGTATACTTGTTAATGTGTGTCACTTATAAGAATTTTACAATAGATGCCTGTACAAAAGTATATTTCACTTCGTGGGAATATGACAATATGTTGGAATTTACCGAGAGGGATAACATATATATTTCTTCAGTTGTACTAATTAAATGACATCAGTATAATTATAGTTCTGATACTAACATCGCAGTAAGGTATCGACAAGATGTCGCAACGTGAAATTTCATTAATTTTAATTTGTGTAGGATAGGGACAAACAAAGCAGCCACAAACGTTTATTCGTAGTACCTTACAAACCTTTGTCGTGCGTGCATATTGCTATATATCAGTATAATAGTTATTGTATACTTGAGATTCTTGTTATAAACATTATTCTGATTATTCATAAGGTGTTCATACAAATTAGTAAGCATATTCTATAAAGACATACGCAAGAAGTAGACAAAATACGTAGTCTTTTATAACATATATAATAAATAGAACCGATATATAAAAGATATGATGTATACACAGGGACATAAAGAATCCCGCACAAATCTTATGGAAAATGGCTTCCGATCAAACTATTTTAAATTTTAATATTTTGTAAACACCATTGATATGATATGTGTAAGTGTAATAAAAAGGATTTATTTCGATTTTTTTGTACTTTTTCATACAAAATATAAAGACTTCGAAGATTCATAATCCGTTCTTATTTCAAGATCATCTTAAGTAATGTCTTAAGATGCTATTAAGACCTCTGATTAGTTCGTGACATCTTAAGACTGTACTTAAAATAGTCTTGAATATAGAAATCGACTATGAATACTGCCCTTCTTAGAGTAAAGACTAAGACATTTGAAAGTTTGTGCTTGTAAGGACTTTTCAGCTTGACGTGAGTTACAAAATATTAAAATTTGAAATAACTTGAAACCCACTTCCCACAAGATTTGTGCTCTTTTTGGATTCTTTTCATATCTTTTCATTCTTTCTCATATACCTTTTTCGATATACGCAATCTCGAATGTAAAGGCATTTGTGTTCGCGTATTTATAATTGTTGCTACGTGTTAGTAATACTCGGCGTGATATTCATTTATAATGGAATTATTTTTTTAATAAATCTGTCACTTTTGATTGTAGACACAGAAATGCAGATACTCTCTTTCAATTTCTTCTTATATACCATAACTGGTTTGTGGCGACCAATTGAATGGTCTTCGAAATGCTCTAAGTTGCTATATAGTGTGTACACTTTCTTCACGCTGTATCTATTTACGTATTTCTTTCTGACTCATTTCTTGTATGTCGTCTTTGTTGTCGACAACCTGGTAAACTTGGCCTCGTGTTGCTCTATTTTCCTAGGGACAATTACCCTATTTTGCAAAGCGATTATTATTGTAATCCGTCGCGATCGGATTATCAATTTGATAAAAATACTGCAAGAGGAACCTTGTAAAGCTTGTAACGAGGAGGAGATTAATATCCATATTAAATTCGATCATTTAATCAGGTTGGTATATTTAAGTACTGACGTGACTTTCGATAATATCAACCATAATAAATAAATCGATAAATAAATCAATACTATTTATATATAACTATTTAAGAAAATTAAAACGAGAATAAATAAATTAAACTATATAAAAATAATTAAATTAGATTAATTTTGTTTTAAAGTTTTCAAGAAAATAATTCTTAAGAAAAATTAGCTTATTGCACTCTAAAATCACAAATTTACATATTTTGTATGTATTTTTCATCATTATAGCATCAACGACTTCCCGAAATATTGTACAATAGCAATCGGATAGCGATTGTCGATATTTTTCACCATACTTACGAAAAAATTAAATGTTTATTAATTTATATAATTTTAAGATAGCTTTTGCTTGTTTTTTTATCATTTGCAGATTATATATACATATATACATATTTATTATTTTTGAAATGTCCATGCAGATCACGTTCCATGCCTTATATAATCTTATGTACGATCTCGCTGATAGGCACTATAATTGGAGGAATACTTTATATATTAGAGGGCGTAATACCCTATGGATTCGTGTGGGTACCTTGGGAGTGTACTTCGTTCTTTTTATTCTATTTTACGTCTCTTCAAGAGATCGCAGCTGTGACTATTGGCATTATTGTAAACATCGCGACAGAAACTACAGTTTTAGGATTTTGCTTGCAAACATGTGCAAGATTCGAAATTCTAAATCATCGCCTTCAGAGAATGATAAAAGGTGAGAAGGAAGACATGCGAAAAAGTTCAGTGAACAATACAAGCAGATTATCAAAATACGTTTCCTTTCATCTTTGTATAATCAGGTTTGTCAAACAAATGATATTTGCTTTGTGCATGTATTTTTCTTAAATAAAAAATCGAGTTGCGCTTTATTTCATATATAAAAAAATGGTAATTTAAACATCTTCTATATATATATCGGTTAAAATTAAAATATGAATAAGTCTACATGAATATCAAGATTAGAATATTTCTGAAACTCATTTTGCATTTTTTTACTAATGATTTCGAATAATGAATCGTTAAATTTTTTACGACGTAAATGTTAAAAATTTATAGTTTTGTGAAGATGATCTTCACATTATTTCGCATTATGTTGTTATCTAAATATATTCTTTTTACAAAAATATATCTTATTTTTAAAACTATATAACAAGCCAGAAAAAATTGTAATTTTTTTTTCGTAATTTTGAAATAATTCTAATGTATTGATGGATATATCATATAATAATTCCATGTAATGTGTTGTAATAACTTTTTAGCTATTGTAATGCGATGTATAGGGTGTCCCAGATCTACCTACTAATGACAGATTCTTGAAGTTATTTTGAAAATATTCTAATATAATTAAATAAATATTCAAATACAAATATTTTAATATGAAAATATCGAGAGTATAATAATTTTTGAAACGCGCGAACTTTAAGCGATATGATTCGCTAACTTTAAATGCTTATAATTAAAAAACTATAGCTTATAGCCTTGACATTTTGGTATTAGAATTTTCATTTCAAAATAATTTTAGTAATATACTATTAGCAGATGATGTGATAGACCTGGGACACCCTGAACTGTATATATACATATATGTGTGTGTGTATAATTTGTATGAAATATATCTACATATATCTTGTGCTTTTATTTCTAAAATTCTATAGTATATATGTAAAACATCAATTGTATGTTAAATGCGCACTAACAGCGTTATAGAAGCACGTTTGAGTACGTCAAATAATATAATAAATATTTATATTATAGACTTTGCTTTAATTATAGACTTGCTGAAATGATCAACGATGTGTTCAGTCCAGTCATCTTCATTCAATTTTGCATCAGTATTTTGGTACTGTGTTCAGCTGCATATTATCTGTCTTCTAATATAACACTTCTAAATGTGATTAACTTCACAGCCTACGTATTTTGCTTGTTTGTGCAGATTTATGTTTATTGCTGGGCTGGCAACGAAGTTACACTTAAGGTAGTCGTGGCCTAAGGTAGTCCATAAAAATATATGTATATTTAGACAAAAATAATGTTTTGCAAGGGTTTTGCGACTAGAATTGATATCACAATTTCTAATAACAATTCAATTATTCTGTTTATCATTTGTTTACGTAGAGTGTTGAATTAGGTGAAGAGATATATCATATGGATTGGATATTAATGACAAGAAGCGAACAACTGGATCTACTAATGATTATGAAGCGCAGCACAAAACCCATCAAATTCACTAGCAGTTTTTTAGTAACACTGTCTTTGGAATCTTATAGCAATGTCAGTATATAAAATTAACTATAAATACTCTATCGTCGATTAATTAATTAAGAGCATTTAATTTGTATTAAATTCATTTATTTTACTTTATAGCTTCTGAAAACGACTTTCTCTGCATTTAACCTTTTGCAACAATTGTAAATGTGTTATTTGTATCCTTTGATAGTACATTGTATGTATACAGTAATTATGAGTAAATCATTTATTGCATATGATACATCTTGATATTTTTTCTAATGACGTGCATTTTTTCCAATTATATGGCGTATGTATATTATTAACTAGATATGAAATTGAGATAAATGACATACTATACAGTGTACCAAAACCACTGCATTTCCTATCAAGAACGGATTCTTTGGAACATTGCAAGAAAAAAATCCTAATATAAATGTCGAGGATATAATAGTTTTCAATTATTCTCGATTCAAATTTACGAATCACAGAACTGACATTTCGCGCGCTCAGGCATGGGTATCATGACAAGTGATGAAAGTGTCACAAGTGTCAAGTTATCTCTTGACAACATCGAAATTATCATATACAAATATGTAGCGATACTTTTATTAAGAAATTATTTCTGTAGAAAGTATATTTGTTGAAAGTACATTTTACACATGCATAATTAATATTATCAATAAAATATCAATAACGAGATATTATGACATGGATCATAATATCTCATGGATCAGCTGTCAACTATATCATTCCAACATCAAAGTGACTAAAGGTAGAGTAATAAAAATCCAGACTCTATAAAAAAACTTGATTCTCTCGAGCTTCTCTTTATCACTAACGAGCTATACTTGGTAAGTATATTTTCCAAAGTCTCTATAATAATACTAGTAAAATACTAGGAATATACTTACCAAGTATGGCAGAACAAACTTCAAGGACACGTCTAATTGTCGAAATATTAACGCATATATTACGAAATAAGTAAAATAATCTATTCATTACATTTTTAATCCTCTTCGATAAATAGGCTTTATTGCTTTATTTCTTAAGTTCCATTACGCACTCACATCTCACACCACACACGCACACACACCCACACACACACACACACACACACACACACACACACACACACACACACACACACACACACACACACACACAAAAACTCATCTACTATATCTTATAAATATTTCAATTGTTCACAATAAGCGATTATTAGTATAATAACTTTATATTACACAAAATCCGCGCAGTATACATAATATTTATATATATTACATAATATTTTAAATAAAAAATTGATGTGTTGCTGCTTTTTGTTACTTTGCAATTAATTGTTAAATTGTGCACACTACTAGTGCACCGAATAAATCGCTATATTGTAGTACCTATTACAAATATACATACTTATTTATGCAATACTATATATAATAAAATATCATATATATAATATCTTGTATAATAAAATATCAATATATGAGTTATTATTACGTTACAAGTACATTTTTATTTATAGAACGCTCATATAATAAAAAATATATAATAAAAAATCATGAATTTAATATATTGTATTATCCAAATCACCAATGAGATACTTAATATTAAAGACGGTCAGTCCTGGACAAATTTTCATGATTGCCCGAGAACTTCGAAAGTCTAGGGGTAATTGAAGAACGATGACATTATCGACAATTAATAAAAATGCGATTTCGGCAATTCATTAAATTTGTGATTTTTTTTTATTATATAAATGTTGTATAAATATAAGTATGCATACTTTTATATATTGCTATAGTATCTTATATATTACCGCAAAATTACGAATTTTTCTCTGCAATTGTCATCTCTGTTGATAATCAAACTCGGATAATAACATTAAAATCACAATTTTAAATAAAAATCGAGTATTATTAAATTTTAAACATATATATGTACTTACGAAACTAATAAATTATGAAATTAATACCGTATTATTAATTTTTTACTCTTAATCATTTAAATTTTCAGTCACGCGAACTTTCATAAGAATCGATTGACCGTTTTTAATAGTATCTCGTCGGTATTTAAGACGATCTTAAAATAGGAACGAACTATGAATGCCGAACTAAGCGGCTCGCTTCGGCCGTAAAAAGCTTTTCTCATCTATTGTGTTTGAAATATTTTACAATTATTAAACTATTGCACTTTTCCACATAACGATAACAACCCATATCTTTTAATTTTTAATTTCGCAAAATTAATATTGCAACACATACATTACTAACAGACATCGCTGACTTGGCTATCGGTTGTTTGAATTACGTAACGTAATTCATGATCGATATTTTAGTTCTCGAGTAAGGAGCATGGTGGCACTGTTTTTATGTTCATTACTAATTTTGCTACTAGCCGATCGAGACTGATCGAGACATATGACTCATGTGTTGTATGTACAGTGTATACACAACATACACTGACGTACATGTATTTTGCCGCTCAATTAAATTGCGGAATAATTGGTCCAAAGACAATGTTAAACACTTAAACGGTGTCGTGAGGAATAAATATTGTATCTCTGTATAATACAACATCAAGCAAGATTATAGGAAACATCACGTGATATAAACATGAATCCCGCTGAAGCTGAAACTATCGCTGATCTGGTTCAGAATATGATTATTTCTCTATGTGGCGAACAAAAACCAGGTTAGTTTTGAATAAAGTTACACTGTTGTCGGAATATTAACTGATAGAAAATATCAACTGTATGTTATTCAATTACTCCAATTAATTGCTACACAATTCATTTTTTAAATAATGTAATTAAGAGTTATTAAGTTATGTCTCATATTTCAGTAATAAAATATTGCTTAATACGAAGAGACATTTTTCAAAATATATTATTTTGAGAATATATAGTAAGGTAAATTAAAAAACTTAGAGCAGGAATTTTGACGGGTCTTGATAAAATTTGATTAATTTGTATTATTTATGTTCTAAAATAAATCAAGCTTATTCGAAAAAGTCATTTGCATGTAATTTAACCAAAAGTGTTGGACATAAAGTATCTTAAGAATTAATTAGCTTCAGCAAGGTGGCATGCTTCATATTTGTTTTTTAAATCTCTGTACATTAAATTGTACATTAAGATGTAGATGTAATCTTTTCAATAGATTTGGATTCTAGTATATACGTGCCTTAATAAATTATAATTGTCAAATTTTTCTCAGATTTTTCATATTTTAGTATATACATTTATATTTAATAAATATAAGTTGGTGTGTATATAAATATATAAATATGCAATATATATTGTAAAATAAAAATCTGTAACATAATACACACACACACACACACACACACACACACACACACACACACACACACACACACACACACATATATGTACACACAAGCTAAAACATTTGTTATATCTTATAGAATCACTCAGAAGATTTATGCGTTTTTCTCTTGGCTTATTGTCATCTACTCAAGGTATAGAAACATTAAGAGAGGATGAAGTAACCGTAGCAACATATATAAAGAGTAAATTATCACCACGAGACGCAGTACAGTTTGATAAACTGCATAATGATTTAAAAGATGGGGTACAAAACAATTTTGCATCTTTCTAAGCATTTTGTTTTGATCATATTTATTTTATTTATAATTATTTGCACCTACAAATGTATTAATTTTTGCATCAATCTTGTTCTTTCATTAGCCACTGAAGAATCGTATAAGCATTCTAATATTTCTACTGAACATGGGCCAGTCGGTGGAACAAATAAAGGACAGGATCTTTTCATTTCCAGATATGAAATCGGAATTAAGCCCAATTGCATCAACTAGTGGTAAGATTAACACAATCAACATTTATCAGAGAATTATCTAATTATTTTTTATATTTAGGACAATTGTCACAAACGTCATGTTCTCCAGCACAAGTTGTATCATTAAATACTACAGAAACAAGTTCAAAAGGATTATTAATACATCCAAATAAGATATTCAATGAAGAGTCCATTTCAGAAGATGTATTAGTTCAAGACTTGATATATTCTTTTCAAAGTGTCGAAGGAAAAATTTTAAAGTTAGACTCCAGCTATGGATTTCAGATAGACCCTGTAGCAAAAATTAATAGATCACAAAAACAAGCTGTTTTAAGACTGAGTGAACTGGGATATTTACATAGTGTAGTGCGAAAAGGATTGGAGAGAATGTCTGTAACTGGTGCAGGCAGAGTCACTGATAGCTTTGTTGCTGCATTACATAAGGAATTGTCAGAATATTACAGATTTATAGCTATAATGCAAGAAGAAGTTAATAGGTAAGAATTAGATACATACGGTATATAATATAGTATATAGTATCTCAAAGACATGAGGTTATATTGTACACAAAGTTATATTGTTTTATAAATCCAATAATAATTTTTTTTTATTTGGAATACACTTGGAAAATATCTGTAGTATAATATTATTTATAATAAAGTGATATAAGCGTAATAATTATAGGTCTCAACATCAAATGGTTACATATGGAGTTACATTATCTCATTTACATCTTTGGGCATGCGATCCTTTGGAAACTCTGAAGTGGTTAGCAAGTATAGTAAGAGCTTGCCAAGGTCAAAAAGGTGGTGCATTAGCATCGACTGTTTATGAATTCAGCTATCATGGAGATGCCATTGTGAAAAATTTAGTCAAAAGAGTTTTGGAAAGTGTTTGCAATCCTTTGTACAACATGTTAATGAGATGGATCGCTGATGGAGAATTAGACGATCCGTATAAGGAGTTTTTTATTCAAGCGTGCAATGATGTTAGTGGAGATAGAATGTGGCATGAAAAATATCAAGTGAGAAATTCAATGGTGCCATCTTTCCTTAGTAAAGCACAAGCGAAGAAGATTCTGGGAACAGGAAAGAGTATTAATTTCTTACGTGAAGTTTGTAAAGACTTTTCACCATGGCAAGATAGACATGCGGATATGTTCAGGAATACTGATGAGGAATATAATGGTTAGTAATAATAATTATGCCAACTATTGACAACTATTGTTAGAGACAAGATCGTAATAGTGTCTTTCTTGATAATATTTGCGTCGGAAAATATTTGCAATTTATAAAAAATTTTGTTAATGTCAAATGGATTATTTACTTTAGCTTTGTCTAACTCTTGGATATTTAATATTTTCATATTGTTTTTCTTCTAGTTGAAGTCTTTTTCGATATGGATCCAGATGGTCGTTTACAAACTATGATGGATGCAGCATA